CCACTCCGGCACACCTGTTCACTCAGGTATGCGATCTTCCCTCTCGCTTTTTCTCCCTCCCTTTTTCCCATCTTTCTTCCTCTCCCTCTTTCTTCTCGTTACTCGTCCCTTCTCCGCTGTCTCTTTTGTCTCTTTCTTGCTCCTCATCACGACAACAGACCAACGACGGTGGTTTACCGTTGTCTCGCTGATCCTGAACCCACCAAGAGCCGGTTCATTCGCGACGTGTAAACTTCTGCTAGTATAAGTCACCCTGCAATTTTCTGCTCCGTAATTATCCTCCTCTTCTTCTCCTTCGCTCTCTTTCCTTCTCTTTCTTTCTTTCCACGTACACGTGTATATGTCTTCGTGTCCGATCAATCCGTAATTGATTAGCCCTACCGGATTCTTTCGGTCACTTTCGACGAAATCGTATTTTTCTATCGTTAGAGAATTGAAGTGGCTGCTGTAGTAAGGAGGCAGCTCCATTTTCCAGTAATTCGAGTAAACCAACAGAAAATCCATTAAGATGCTGATCACTTTTGTCTCCTTATTGCTTCTTAATTCTTAAATTTGATCTGAAAATCATGAAAGAATCATTACCAATATGTATCTCATCGAGGCATACAAAATTCCAAGACCGCACCAGGATTGTAGTTAATTATAAATATAGTCAGTTAGGATCTTAGTTATGATACATCGACTTCTATTTATTCGATGATATTAGTGTATCTCCTTATCCGTGTATCGCCAGCTGGAAAAAAATGCGTCTTTCTTGTGACATTTTCCCGTTCACGGTGACTTTACGGTACCTCCAAGTTTCCATTTATTACCTCGCTGCGAGAAGTCCACGGCTGGTCCATAGTCCTGTCAGTTTCAGATTGTTTCGGACCGATCGGAACAAGTGGTCGGTTCAGTCTATATGGGGGCTCTTCCCGAGAAGGGCTCTCGACCTGGTCGAGCAGAAGAACCAGACAATAGGACGCCAACATCCAAGGCCCCCCTGCACTTGCCTTTTTCGCCGTGTTACCGTCGTTTGTTGTAGCGTTTCTATGCCTTGAAGAATAACGACAATAAAAAAGTCGTTCGTCGGCTTATAATTAGACTCTGTTAATTCTCCTTTTGTTTTTACATTTTCTCGTATCCATGACAGTGTTGAGAAAATTATTACAGTGCACACTATCGTCAATAAGTGTTTCTACACGCTGCTACAATCCGAAGAAGTTGATATTTCTATTACATCTCCAAAATTACGATCCAAGAACGCGTTAATTCTATGTCATCAAATATTTTGGTAAATTTAAACTAATAAAGAAATTACCATATCAGCATCGCTGTGACTTCGCATCGACTTGTGTAATAGATAACTGACAGTGTATAAAACCTACATAGACTGTTAGAACGCGACTAGAAACATATTTCAATCGCTGTAATATCGCAACGTTGAACAGACGCATCTAAATCAGGTATTTCCACAGGATCGATTTTTATATGCTTTCAATTATATGCTCTTTTAATTATACTAATTAAATAGTAACTATAGATTACATCAATATCTACTAATTATATATATACGATTATATTTTATACATTTGCATGAATTCGAAAGTGTTCTAATATGTACTTATGGACGACAGTGTATCTATTATGATGTAAAAACGTGAATATGGAATGTAGTTTAATAGACAGGTTTTAAGGTGAAGCAGAGTGACGCTGGTTATAGCACTGTGCGTCTTCTATGCAAATGTAATTCTCCGTTGAACCTCTTCGAGTCTAATTTGCCGTAGGTATACAGAAATGAAACGAGCCGCTGCGCTGCCTGCAAGCGGTCTTGGAGCTTCAACGCATTTCAAGGACGGTGTTAGATTTTTAGAGTGTCGCGCGAACGGAGCTTGGTGCGTTAACTATCGACTTCATTGCCTTCTTGCAACATTTCGCTTGTAGGGAGTATCGCTGAATATTTGTGGAGTATCGCTTTACTGTTATAGCATATAATACTTTTTAAATTACAATGAATGTATTTCATCAAATATACATGATTAGAAAAGTTGAAATTATGTTACGTTGAAATATCGACTGTTTGGCTAATAAATAAATTATAAATCAACTATTAATTATTTAAATACGATTTTTACATAAAAAAAAATGTAAGTAACATATCAAATGCGAAACAAAAATACGATCTATCGTTTCAATGTATTAGACCAATCAAAATCCTGCTATATTATCATATTACATAAAATACTCTTCTTAACTACGTATTCTACTGAGTATTCTTAACATCCTTAAAATTAATTAACGGTAATGCCAAAACGAATTTCTAAGATTCTTCCCTCGTAGCTTCGTACAGAACTTCTTTCAACACTCTCGTTCCATCATCGAGTTTACAGTATTTATAGGTCGGACACTGTTCAGTGGGAGTTTCCTGCATGTATTTTTGCAGCAATATTGTATTATTCTCCTTTTCGTCTGTTATACTCCAAATGTTGATGAAGTATATCGTGTACGGGCTAAAGTCTTGCATCGCGGAAGAGGACCAGGCGCACACATGTACCTGAAGCAAACACAGACAAATGTTTCTTTATTCTTTCTTAATAATTTCTTCTTTCCTTATCGGTATAGTTTGTTTCCCAAATATTCGTTTCATCGAGTTACACAACAGGCCATAAGTATTAAATGCATCTCAATGCTTCTAGCAGTTATTCTGCTACAAATCTGTCGTCTCGCTCGCATCATATGCGTTCTATACTGCAATTTTTAACAGATGTAATTTTCAATAAAATTTACAAAAAAACTCTAATTGGTGATAAAACGTTCGATAAATACAATTTACAAAAAAAGAAAAAAAAAGAAGGAAATTCCAACGAAGCTTCCAGCAAGCGTGATCCTCGGTAAAATTTCCAGTAAATGTAATTAGTAGATGTCTTAATACTTCTAGCCAGCAAACCGTATATCGCTACTTACGTTGGTTTTCAGGATTTGCGCGCAAGAATTCATCGTGTCGAGAATCAAAGAACACGTTCTGGCAGTGTGTACATCTTGCAACACCTCACTTTCTTTATAGCCACCGGTATAGGCGTCGAAGTCGTCGATCAAGAGCACAGAAGGCAAAGTGGCGAAGGTGTGTAGCTGGACGAGCAGCTTTGCCAGAGCCTTATAGTCCTCCAAGTACCTAGGGTATTGATTTCTTCGTGATCGTTTTGCGTTCGATTTCATAATCGAAAGCGGATTCACTGTTGCACTACGCGCGCGTAATGCAACCTTATTACAGAATGATCGCAGTTCGTTCGAAGCAGATGTGATCCACTTGGATTTTCTTACATTATCTTACCAAATCGTATTTACCCTACCTTCTTAAGATACATCGTATCGTTATTGCGTTATTGTAATAATAATTTATTATCGTGCTACTATATTTCATTATAATTACTATCAATTTAAGCAGTGAACATCTATCAGTAAGTTTTGCGCCTTGTTTTGAGTTAATCGCATGAATCCTACGATGTATTATACTACTGTTATAACGTTATAATAGTAATAAAATCATAGTATTACAATTCTTATATTACGCTATCTTAATCAGAATACTATGCTTTATGAATATATTTTTTTTTGTCATTTTACATTACATATATGCGTATGTATATGTATAAACCATATTTTCCTTACGCTATTGTATGTATTCTTTGAGTAGGAAATTATGTCTAGAGAATATTGTTTTAAAGCTTTTTTCTTGAAATTTAAGAGACAATAACGTGTCCTTTTGTATCTCGTAACTTGTAACATAAACGATAGATATATATCTGGAAGGAAAATCAGAAACGTTTAACTGATTATCAAGACCACCTGAATATAATAATTTATTGAAAATATTCGGCATCGAGAATGATTGGTAACTGCAAAATAAACAAACGGCGCAAGCATCCCGCGAGCAATATAGCTTAAGTAAATGGATGCCGTAATAAACGTAAAATAGCGTTTCGTTTATTGCCTTGGTGTAAACCTGTTTCAAAATCAATAAACTTCGTTCCCAAAAGTGAAAGCGTTATAGCATTTGTAAATCTAATATATAATCAGTCAGTTCTTTTAAATCCAACACAATGTCTAAATCCGCGCACTCCAACCAAGAGTAAATCAAAATTACGTAACGGTACTCGAATAGATCTATAGCGAATCATATCTCTGTCAAAATTTAAATTTTCGTTTATAATTAAATAAACGAATCTAAATATATATTACGTTATCAGTGATCCATGATTAATTGATACGAATTATTACACTGAAATATTGAATTTTTTGAACTCTAATGATTTTATTTTCTAGCATTCGCATAATTATGCATAATGGAATATTATAACGTCATTGGATCGACTTCCAAAAAGCCGTATGCAATAAGAAAACCGTTGTTTGTAACTCGACAAAGTATAGAATCTTGTAAATTTTTGTTTCGATTTAACATTCTTTTTCATCTACAGATTTAATTACAAGTTAGATCTAGCAGCTTCTTTTAAATTAGAAGATCGCTTTGCTTCTTTAAAATTACAGAATCTAAATTAACAGAAAGATTTCTGACTCTAACATCGACACAAGTAGCGATATTTAAATAGTAAATGTATATGTATATCGAATAGATACTTAAATATATAATTTCTTGATTCAACGAGAACGCAGTAAGCGTCGTTGCTTACTATTAATTTGATTAAATTGATTTTAAAATTTGAATGAAAGCCTGAACTAGATTAATATTGCCACCGCATTTCGATCGACGTTTCTGCATTTGTAGAAACTATACTATACATAGGTATGCATCTGGTGTATGCATACACGGTAGAACTAAGAAGCGAGATAATTAGAGAAATGAAGTGGAACCTACATATGTGAAAAAAGCAAAGTAAAGTGAAAAGGCGCAGTTAGAGAAGAGAATTTTCCTCTTTCGCCAGAAGGCACGGTTCGACGAATCCTCAAGCGTGGACAGATAAAATCTCAGCTTTGAAAAATAAACGGTAGAAGAAGGAAGCAGCTGATTTGCGACGACCCCGGTTCGACCGTTTATTTTACTCTTGCTTCTGGTGCCACGATGAATCGCGTATAAAAATTGCGGACTCCGTTGTTTATCTAACCGAAAGAATAAACGTTTCGAAACTGCCTCGTTTTATCCGCGAAGGATTAGCTTCGTAAGCGTTCGCATAGTTAAAATTGACTTGGAAAAAAATGAAAACGATATCGATCATTTTTCATGCGTTTCATCTCCATCTTGTTGTTGGTATTAATTCTCCGTGTGGATACGTATATACGATACGATTGACCGAGGTATAATTAAGAATTTTCTCTTGAATTTCTTATTTCTGAAGAAGCGTCATTTTTTCAAGGAAAAATCGGCCAAGAATAGAGTTTTGAAACATAATTTTTTTACACAAATCTAATCTGCTGGCTGTTTCTATAAAATCGTTTCAAGTATCATTCGTTAAACGACTAATAAAACGTTAAAATCAAAGATAATTTCGAACGATTAACGATAACGAAAGTATAAGTTTCATATGTACGTACATACGTGAAAATAGTCCTTCTTTTTTCAATTCTTTATGAAGCGTTCGATTTATTTATTGTTACATTTATACCACGCTATATTTGCAAATTGTAACTCGGTTCAAGCAAATTTATTCAACGATGAATCAAAGTTCTTTGTGCGCTACTATACTGCGTATTTCATTGTAGTTCGCCACATAAAGCAGCTGAGAATGAGTAACCTCTCTGGCGTGATCTATGTGCAGTTAACGCAGCCTCTTCTGAAAATACGATCGCTTCTAAACAACGCATATGTTTATGCACGTAGAATGTCAATACCTGTCGCGTGTGACGTGTAAAGTAACTAATGTTCCTTGATCTATCGCTTCCGGTACGTTGAACAAACTTCTCGAATTCGAAGCCGTTCTACATATTATTATTCTATGGCGTAACGCTGCGATCCTTCACTATGATTCCATCGGTTATTATACAGTAGCTCGCGAAAGCATTTCAATGCTTGTAGAAATTTTGTATATTGTCTGTGTTATATGAAACATTTCGAGATTCCGTTAGCATTATCACGAGATACCAATTGTTATATTGATAAAGTTTGAAATAAATCTGAAAATATATATAGTAGTTACAAAATATTTAATGCAAATATATATTTCACAGAGGTCGTAGAAGCATTAAGCAATTATTCGTTACATTCCTAAGTCTTAATATTCAGTGAAAAAAATCATCTTTAACATTTATTATATGCTTAAAGTGACTCTTCGTGCTGTATTCTAATTTTTTAGTAAATATATGTTTACAGCAAATGTCTTGTAACTTTTGTTTACATCCTCAGATTGATTTCAGATTTAACCAGTATATTCAGGATAATTACGCTTCACTGCGATAAAAACGAAATGCAATTTCTAAATGTTTTATATAATACACATAACATATATACGGAGGTTTTCTATGGTAAAAAAAAAGTCTTATAGCTGCTATATGACTCAAAACGACCATGAACGAGTTTTGGAAACATGACACGATCTTCTTTCTTCTTAGAAGATCAAAAAGAACTAATAAATTCTTCCGCGTCTTAGAACGAAGTGAGTAAGTCCGCAATATATTAACCGACGTTCGAGATTCAAAATTCAAGTGAAACAAACGATTTCAAAATAAGCGATTTAGTTTAGTTAAATGGATATAAATCTGGCGCTCTTTTTAGAAACGAATCCCGAAGGCCGATGCACGTGCAGAAGCGCCGCAAGAAAAGTGTTCCGCTTACATAAATCTCATCAGCTTGAAAGCCGCGGGTGCTGGATTACTTCTATCGTGACAGGCTACCGGCAGTCTCTCCAACGGAGTCGGTGTAATGTAAACGACGCGGCGTCCTTCTTCGGCCCAGTAAATTGCTACCTACGAAGGAAAACTCGATTCCGGAAATGTCCATACCATTTTTAACAAAGCAGTTCCATAACGAGCACCGACCGTGCAATAATGTTGACTTTTAACGCTAATATTTAGAATGCTTTTGAGATTTTGAAACAACGTATCAATCTTATCGTGTTTCTGTATATTTTCATATATTCTAGGCGCTATATATTGTATACAGCACTGCCTTGCTAACTGACGAAAACCCTGCATTGCTAACTGGCCATTAATATCCCCACCACTCCTTGTACGTCTTTGTAAGGCGGAGGAAACGTTTCAAATATGCTTCGATACTTAGAAAGACTTATCTCATTACGGGTCGACGTTTCACATTTGTAATTTTTTAAAGTATGTTATCAAATTCTGTTTATTAACATTCGGGCTACGCAAGGGAATTCCAAGGACTCGTTTAATATTTTTTTCGTCACTATTTCTTCCATGTTGATTCTACAGTTCTATGAAATTTAAAGAAGTTGAAATATTTATAATATTATAAGAAATTATACACGTATGTTACTTTGTCCTCAATGCATTGAAACTCTTGATAGGTCTTGAGTTTTTAAAATTTTGATAAATTTTGAAATTATTGATATATTTTAGTTTTGAAACCTTGAAAGGTATTGAATATGTATGATATTAAATATAAATTGATAGATTTCTTTATTTTAAGATACGAAGCACAAAACAACATATCAGGAGAAAAAATAATTACTATTAAACTTTTAAGATTTTGAAATCTATCTAGATTTTTTAAAAATTCATGACTTATAGAAATTTTAAAGACTAAAAATCTGTGAAGGTTTAAAATTCAAGAATTATCAAGTCTTTCGAAAATTTCAGATATCGAGTCATATTCGATGTAATCCGAATTCTTTGCTACATATAAATACGTATGTAATTTCACGCCAAAGAAAAATATCTGTTCTAAACCTTGCATTGCTAATTGGTCATATTTGATCCTTCCTCGTGGCCAGTAACAATGCACAACTGTACACCAATATCTTATCGACACGAATATTTGAGTTTGAAATAAATTTTTGCAATTATAAATTGTTTCATGTAAACGTTTAAACAATTTTTTAATAACCCATTAAGTATCTCTAATCTACTTAAATTTTGATCTTTTTGGAAAAAGAAATTAAAAAATCTTATTCTATATTGTATCCAGTTCGCGTAAATTTCTCTATCACTGTGCAATCCTAATTCCACTATTTATTTTAAGTTACTGAACTACGTTTGTATGTACAAAATATTATAATGTTTATATTTTTTTGATTCATTTACCTCAAACATAAAAGATTGACTCAACTCTGCTGGTCCACAAAGCAACGTCGATTTCACATTAGACTTTACAGAGAACATACTTTGCTTCAATCTTCCAATCGTATATGTAGGTTATATAATTATCGCAATCGGAAATACGATTGATTTCTTTCTTTCCTTCAGTAATTAGGTCTATCCCAAGTATAGAAAGTATTTGTAACGAATCTTTTAACATAAAAATCTTATTAAAAAGCGTTTTTCAAACTGCGGCTTACATCTTTTAAGCAAGTTTGTCATAAACACTAACGACCAAAGATTTGAACGAAATGTTCGCCGCTGTGGCGGCAC